AGCACAATGAAATATCTCATCTCAGAACAGCTATCATCAAAAAGAGAACAATTATGCCAGGGATTTAGCTCAGTGGCCTCAAGTGCTTGCCTGGTGAGTACAAGGTTGTGAGTTCAATTGCCAATACCAAAAAACAAAAGCAAACAAACACCCACCCCTCCAAAAAAGACAGCAAATACTGGTGAAGATGTAGAGTATAAAATTCCTTTATACACTGTAGAGAAAATATTATACACTGCTGATTGGAATATAAACTAGTGGGGCTGGGGATTTAGCTCAGCGGTATAAGCACCTGCCTTGCAAGCAGAGGGTCATGAGTTCGATCCCCCGTACCGATAAAAAAAAAAAAAAAGGAATATAAACTAGTACAATAGTTATGGAAAAGAGTACAGAGGTTCCTCAAAAAACTAAAATTGGAACTACCATATGTGTAGCAATTTCTCTATTGAGTATATTAAAAAAGAAGATACCTGGTACCGGAAAAAAAAAAAAAAGGAGATAAAATCACTTTACCAAGAAGATACTTGCACTCCTATGTTTATTACAGGACTATTCACAATACATTGTTAAAACATGGAATCAGAGCCAGGTGTGGTGGCTCATGCCTGTAATCCCAGCTAGGGAGGCTGAGGCAGGATGATCGTTGTGAGTTCAAGACCAGCCTAGGCTACAAAGTGAGATCAAGGCCATCCTGAACTGCATAGAAAGAACCTGCCTGAAAAAGATAAAAAAAACAAAACAAAAAAAATGGAATCAATTTAGATGTCCATCAGTGGATGAATGGATAAAGAAAACATGTTATATATAGTGGAATGTTTTTAGCTATAAAAATAATGAAATCCTGTCACTTGTAGCAACAAGAATGAAACTGAAGGTCATTATGTTAAATAATAAGCTGGGCAGAAAGACAAATACCACAAATATTCACTCATTTACAGAAACTAAAGGTTGATCTTGTAGAAGAACAGAATAGTCACTAGTTACTGGGGAGGGTAAGAATAGGGAGAACTTGTTCAACAGGAGACAATGAAACACAAAGATGAAGAAGAATTAGTTCTAATTTTTCTATAGCAGAGTAGAGTAACTATTGCTTAAAATCTATGACTATTTCAAAATGACTAGAAGAGTATAAAACTTCCAACACATAAAATAAAGAAATGCAATTTCTTATTTTTGGAGACAGGGTCTTGCTATATAGTTCAGGCTGGCCTGGACTCACTATGTAGCCCAGGTTGGCTTCAAGTCTTGGAGATCTTTCTGCCTCAGCCTCCTGAGTGCTAGGATTATAGGCATGTGCCACCTTGCCTGGTGATGGAATTGCTTATAATCCTATTTTGTTCATTATAATATATATATTAACATACCCTATAAACATATAACATAGTATATATATATATAAAACATAGTATAATACATATAAATATGTATATATATACATATAGTAACATAGCCTATAAAAACTATTAAATATTACTTCTCAGTTAAAAGCTGGCTAGGTGTCATGGCACACATCCACAAAGTCAGCACTTTAGGAGGCTGAGACAGGAGGATTGAAAATTCAAACCCAACTGGGCAAGTCAGCAAATTAGAAAGGTCTTGTTTCAAAAAAGATCAGGCACGGAGATAGATGCATGCCTGAAGCAAGAGGACCACTGCAAATTTGAGGCCAGCCTGGGCTACACAGTGAGTTAAAGGCCATCATGAAGTACCATAGCAAGACCTTGTCTCAAATAACCAAAATAGAAAAAAAAGTGAAAAAGGTTCCTTAGTTTAAGTAATAGTACCCCTAAAAAAAATAAAATTTAAAAAAACAAAAGAAAGAGAAAACAAAATGAAAGACAAGAAAAACAGTTTAAAAGGACACATTTGAACCAGGCATGTGACACATGGCTATAATCCCTATACACAGGCCAAGGCAAGAAAATTTTGAGATTCAGGGGACCCTAAGGTATGAGTCCTAAGATAGCTGGGCCTAAAGACAGGGACCATGTGAAAAGAAAAAGGGTGATATTAGGTGGAGAATGGAGACAGCAAGTACTTATAATTTTCAAAGAGATAATATGAAATTTTTTTGTACCAGAAATCAAACTCAGGTGTGCTTGCCAGGCAGGTGCCTTGGAACTGAGCTACATCTTTGACCCTTCGAAGATATAACGTGAAACAGGAAGGATCTAGATGACTATTAGAAACTCATGTGCACAGAAAGGAGTATTTATGCTATCCAATGCTATTATAGAATATAAATATTTTGATATGATGGGCAACCATATTTAAAATGTAAAGAAGAGAAAGGACAGTTGTAAAAGGGTAAAAGTTGTCAAAGAATGGTTACATGAGAAACTGAAATGCAAGATGAACCCATATGAAAGAACTCCCTTTGTACAGGGACCATGGCAATTCACCCACTATAAGAAGAAAATTTAAATACAGGCAGATTTACCTAAGGGTTACATATCACAGTGCTCTTTTGATTACTTCTTATTTTTTCAGTGAAACACAAGGCAAGAAGAAATTAGTGTGATAACTCGGATCCCAGTATAAAATCCAAGAAAGCAAGAAATTAAAATTTGAGAAGCAAAGGCTTTATTAGGTAAAATCCAGGCCTGGTGACGAGTCTCCGGGAGCTAATTTGGAGACTGCGCCCCTCACAGCTAAAAGTCAGGACTTTTTATCTTGTAAATCAACAAACAGCTGCTGGTCACACAATGTAAGGAGGGGGATGGGGGTGTGACCCACTACAAAGCAGAAACAGCAATTGCAAGTCTCCCTGCATACTAGCAAGTTTAGATAAGAAAAAATCTTGTTTTTCTTAGCAAAGAATAGAGAGGTCTAACAGCAATTAACTACCTTAGTTACCTTACTTTAGCACCACAACTGTTCTATTTGTAGAGGGCAACAATGGTTAACATATCAGGTAGGTAAGATTTTACAATTCTTTACAGAGGAGAGCATTGATTAACATATCAATCCTTTGCCCAGAGGGAAAGGAAAACACACATTTACAGTAAGGCCAAGTTACAGGTATTGCTGTGATACAAATATAACGAAGCTATTTTTGTGAAGAATGTACAATCTAATACAATCTAATGCAATTAACACAATTTGTGACGGGCTACCGGGTCTTTTTGGGTAGGGAAGACTCGGGTTGTCAGGAGCTATTACCTCAGGCCTTTGTTTTATGGCCTTTAGGAAGTTAAAACTTAACCTAGTTAAGATTTGAAGGGAGAAGGGGAGGGGAAGCAACAGGTGGGCTTATACCTTAGAACAGACCTTAGGATAATTAGGGGGGTTAGGTTATAACAATTAGGTGAGTGAACTGACTAGTAAAATGCAGTAGGAGACAAATCTGGATACTGTGCACATACTAATAGTCAGCCTTCATTAGCATGTAAGTTTGTCTAGTCATTTCTAGCCATCAGCCCAGCCACAAAACAAGTACAAATGAGTGACACATAACAAATGAGACACTATAGCATCTAAAACTAGGTGTTATTTCTTCATTCAAAGAAACCATTTTATTCATCCATCTTTCATAAATACTTTCCTAATTTAGGCAGTGCTAATTTAGGCAGGGTCAAAATAGATAAGTGCATGTGGTCACTGCAAACATAGACATTATGGTCCAACACAAGGAAAAGGATACAGTCTTAGGACACCAACCTGCCAGGGCTACCCCTAACAGAGTGTGATCCTGGAGATAACAACTAATGTGACTGTGACAGGCACACATAATATGGGCAGCGGAGCTGGCATTTCTCCTATACTCTATGGAGAGCGTTACAAGCAGAACCTGAAAAACTAATTCTTGAGGAACTTAAAAAAAAACAGAATGAGGGGCTGGGGATTTAGCTCAGCAGGCATAAGCACCTGCCTTGCAAGCAGGCAGCTTCGAGTTCAATCCCCGGTACCGATAAAAAGGAAAAAGACAAAACAAAACAAAACAAACCACCCCCATACACACACACACACACACTTCCTGTGTTGGGCGCAGAGCAACTCCCTCACTACCCTAATCTAACAAGCTAGTCTTTGAGATGTGTATGTGTTATAACCTAAGGCCCCCCAACTATCTCGCTAGGTCTGTTCTGTATAAGCCCACCTGCTGCTTTCCCTCCTCTTCCCCCTTCAAATCTAAGTAGGTTAAGTTTTAACTTCCTAAAAGGCCATAAAACAAAGGCCTGAGGGAATAGCTCCTGACAACCCCTTCCCTACCTGGTAGCCCATCACAAATTGTGTTAATTGCATTAGATTGTATTAGATTGTACTATTCTTCACAAAAATAGCTTCGTTATATTTGTATCATAGCAATACCTGTAACTTGGCCTTACTGTCTGTGTTTTCCTATTCCCTTTGGATGACCTAATTGATATGTTAATCAATGCTCTCCTCTGTACAGAATTGTAAAATCTTACCTAATTGATATGTTAACCATTGTTGCCCTCTACTAACAGTTGTGGTGCTGAAGTAGGGTAACTAAGGTTGTTAACTGCTGTTAGACTTCTCTATTCTTTGCTAAGAAAAACAAGATTTCTTCTTATCTAAACTTGCTAGTATGCAGGGAGACTTGCAATGGCCGGTTTCTGCTTTGTAGTACGTCACACCCCCATCCCCTTCCTTACATTGTGTGACCAGCAGCTGTTTGTGGATTTACAAGATAAAAGTCCTGACTTTTAGCTGTGAGGTGCGCAGTCTCCAAATTGGCTCCTGGAGGCTGTGTCACCAGGCCTGGAAATAAAGCCTTTGATTCCCAAATTTTAATTTCTTGCTTCCTTGGATTTTATACCGGGGTCTGAGTTATCACATATGTATCTATAATGCCTCCCTGAGTAGAAAAGATCGGCCTTGGTTAGGATGTTCAAGTGGCACGCAGTAAAGGTTTTAAAAGACAAAAAGGAGTCTCCTCGGCTAGAGTAAATACTGGAAGTTAGCAGTCAACTGACCAAGGTGGGGCGGGGGAAGGGCAACTGACAATAGAGAGAAGGGAGGGGTGTTTGTTCCCTGTGGCCTGCTGAGGAAGGGGGAGAGCTTTTGAATCCTTTAACAAGGTATACTCCACAGCCCTTCATGACACATCTTTCCATCATATCAAAAGGAGCCTAGCTAAGGAACACTGGAATTGATGCCAAAAGAGGAAGTCACCAAGAATGGAAACTGAAAGCCAGAGAGATCAGACAGACTAGGATAAGGCCCAGCCAGAAAGCTAATCTTTCAGAGGAGGCGAGTAACTGCCGTGGGTATGTCACCAGTACAGATCTGGGGCTAACACGTGTGTCTGAGGGTGTAAATGTCAGAAGAGCTGGCACTGATGGACACATAGACCCCACAGCGTCAACTGATCCATGAGAAGCGGATCCATGATGGCCTCAGTGAGAAACACTATCTCTTTCTCAGCCTCTCTACAGAAAGCCCACGTGGTTTTGCATGTGGCTAGGAGTCTGCTTCAGACTTGCACTCTCCTGATGGTGGCCCCACGGCTGGGGTTAGTGCCAGGACACTTGTGTGTCAGGTTAGTGACCAAGTTGCTTGTGGGGACAGTTCTTCTCCCACACATCCACTGTCACCTGGGACCGGTCCATTACTCTTCCTACGAAATAGTCATTCCCGAGAGCCTGACAGTCAAGGGAAGCCAAGACCCGGGGGGAAGGACATCTTATATGTTACTTATACAAGGCCACAAGCAGCTGATCCACCTGAAGGTAAAGAGAGACTATTTCGTGGATGATTTTCCAGTCTATTCTTACCACAATGGCAACGTACGGCAAGAAACACCCTCCATCGCACGCGACTGTCACTATGAAGGCTACATAGAAGGAGCGTCGAGTTCTTTTGTGTCTGTCAGTGCCTGTTCAGGTCTCAGGGGTATCCTGATTAAGGAGAACACATCCTATGGCATTGAGCCCATACTCTCCTCCCAGCGGTTTGAGCATGTGTTATACACCATGGCACGTCAAGCTCCAGTCTCCTGCAGAGCCTCTGCCAAAGACAGCCAGGCGGTGTCCACCAGCTGGCAGCAAGGCAGCAGGAAGCCTCACAGTGTACAGGCACTGTCCTCCTACCTGTGGGTGCACACCAAGTACGTGGAGATGTTTGTCGTGGTCAACAACCAGCGGTTCCAGATGTGGGGCAGCGATGTCAACGAGACAGTGCAGAGAGTGGTGGACATCATTGCCCTGGCCAACATCTTTACTCGAGGAATAAACACAGAGGTGGTACTGGCTGGGGTGGAGGTCTGGACCGAGGGGGACCTGATAGAGGTCCCAGTGGACCTGCGAGTTACACTCAGGAACTTCAATCGCTGGAGACAAGACAAGCTCTTGCCTCGTGTGAGGCACGACGTTGCCCACATGATCGTTGGGCATCACCCTGGAGAGACCTCAGGTCAGGCATTTCTGAATGGAGCCTGTTCAAGTGGTTTTGCAGCGGCTGTCGAAGCTTTCCACCACGAAGATGCCCTCCTGTCTGCAGCGCTCCTGGTGCACGAGCTAGGGCACAACCTGGGTATTCGGCATGACCACTCGGCCTGCGTCTGTAGAGATAAGCACTCCTGTCTCATGCAGGAAAATATCACTGAAGAAAGTGGCTTCAGCAACTGCAGCTCTGACTACTTCTACCATTTCCTTCATGAACACAGAGGGGCCTGCCTATTTAATAAGCCGTGGCACAAAGCTCGCAGGCGCAGGGCTGCCACGTGTGGAAACGGTGTGGTGGAGGAGTCAGAGCAATGTGACTGTGGCGTTAACTGTGATACGAGCGAGTGCTGTGACCAAGCCTGTAATCTTAAGGGAAACGCGACGTGTAGTAACGAACTCTGCTGTTCTGATTGCCAATATAAAAACTCGGGCTATTTGTGCCGTCCTTCTGTGGGACCATGTGACCTCCCTGAGTACTGCACTGGTCAATCTGGAAAGTGCCCTCTAGACACATACAAACAAGATGGTACCCCATGTAATGAGGGATTCTTCTGTGTAAGTAAGGGGTGCACGGACCCTGGTATTCAATGCGCAACCTATTTTGGGCATGGTGCCAGGTCTGCCCCAGATGCATGTTACACTACATTGAACAGCATAGGGAATATATTTGGAAACTGTGGTCAATCAGGTAATCCGACCACCTATGTTGGGTGTTCAGGTGATAGTACAAAGTGTGGGAAACTCATATGTACAGGTATTTCTTCAATACCTCCAATCAGAGCTCTATTTGCAGCGATCCAGATCCCTCATGGAGATGACTGGTGCTGGAGCATTAGTAACTTTGGGGATCCTGCGTCCTCCCCCACAGAAGGAGCTGTGTCAGCAGGCACGTCTTGCGCTTCAGGCAAAGCGTGTGTAAATGCCCAGTGTTCTACTTTCACACTTGACACTGCTAACTGTAGTGCAGCTGAAATGTGTAATGAGAATGGAATTTGCAACAATTTAGGGCACTGCCACTGTGGAGATGGTTTTGCTCCCCCCAACTGCAAAGAACAAGGAACTGGAGGTAGTATAGATAGTGGTCCCCCTCCCCCTTCTAGTACACCTACTGCACCTCCTAAACCAACCCAAACGACAAAAGCATCAAGTGAAAACTTAGCATTAATTGGCCTGATAATTTTGGTAATACTATTACTACTTCTAGTTATTTGTGCTATCTGCCTTGGTATACCTGCTGAAGAAGCTCCTCCACCACCAGAAGAGGAAGAAGCAGGGGAACTGGAAGAAGAACCAGAACCAGAACCAGAACCGGAGGAGGAGGAAGCAGCAGAGGAGGAAGACTAGAGTGATAACTGGTGGAAGGGCAAAGCCAAATATATCAAATTCCTCAAGTGATTACTAGGAATGAGAAGCTCAGGGAAGCAAAAGTTCAGTGGGAACTGACAGCTCTAATGGCTCTAACTAGGACTCTATACTCTAAAAAGACACCACTGTAAGAGGACCTATTCCTCCATGTTTCTCATCTAAGTAAATAAATTCTTGTTTACCTAGCATATTAAAAACAACTTTTTGTTTTTCACATTTAATTAAATTCATTACATGCATATTTGGACATTAATGTCCTTGTGCCTTTGGGCTATTTTTTTCAGTCACCAGCAACTGTTTTTCAGGGCATGCTATCTTCCATGCAAGTTTGTGATATGTAGTAGTATTTGTTCCTGAATTTATTACTATCTATGAGATTTTCATTTCTTATAACAATAACATATTTTGTAAGGATAACTGTTCATGGGACTGACTGTTTCAACTTGGCCTATTAAGTGTACATTCATTGAGTGAGGTTTTAAATGCAATAATAAAACTGTTATTCAAGTTAGACATGTTTTAAGGTTCTTTGTAGTGTGCAATTATTGAGTCCATTTTGTTTTACAGCCATATAGGAGATGTGCATCTGATAAGGAATAGGACCCTAATTGCTCTTGGGTTGAGGAGCCAGCATTGAAGGCATCCATCTTTACAAATAGTTATATAACATATATATTCAAGTCATTACTTCCCAATATTTCTAGGTGCTTTCTACAGCCATATTCCATTTTACCTAAAACAGGTTTTCTTCCACATAAGTCTTCATAGCCCCCTTTTTTGCTAGTTGTCTACTGATGAAATTCATATCCCTCATAACCAGTGAACATTGTCTAGAGTTAGGTAACTGGGTTTATAATAGTTTTAGGGGATTTTTTTTTTTTTTTTTGATACTGGGGATCAAACTCACAACCTCATACTTGCCAGGCAGGCACTTATATTACTGAGCTAAATCCCTGGTCCGGTTTATACTAACTTTATAGTGGGGGTGCCCACCAAATATTGAATGCATGTATAAAATTTAAAGTTTATTTAAATTAATAACTTGTTGACTGACACTCAGAATGAACTTTTCCAGTACAAGTAACAAGAGTTCTAGATGTAGTAGTTACTTCTGAGGGAAAAGGGCATGAGGCAAATATAATATTAACATTATTTGTTTTGTGTTAGACTTTGTGTTAACCATTTTCAGGTATGAGGAATATAGGTAGCTTAGTGATAGAGCTCTTGTCTACCATAAATTAAGCCTGGGTTTGACATCTGTTGCCGCAAAAAACAAAACTTCTCAATTTCCCAAAGAAACTTCCATCTCATACATGAGGAAATGGAGATCAAAGTGTTTCTTCTCAAGATAGACCATAAGTGGTATAACCAGCATGATTGAAGTTATGATCTCTTTTCCTCTTGAGACTTTTCCTTCAGTAAAAAGTAAGGGGAAGACATTTGATATGACTTTAATTGCCTAGAACAGTGGTAGCAAACCTATAACAAAAGATGTTAATGTATGAGTTTTTTTTTTCTAAGCTAAAATTTCTGTATTCAGGTTTAACTGCAGTGTTGGCACTTTGTAGTAAATAAGTGGGTTGCAGTTTAGTACTCGGTCTCTAAGGTGTGTCAGCACCAGCTTAGAACATGGCTTCCTAATGACTATGGCAACAGAAAAGGCTTAAAGAACATATTGACCTCTTTCAAAAATCTATCACATTCTGGTCCTGAATCAAGGCCCGCAGCTTCCTGATGCTGTTGGTTTCAAGCAGGAGCCTAAAGAGATGGCTTTCTATGATCTGTTAGCCATTTCAGAACTTAGGCAGTGAAATGGTCAATTCATTAGAAACAGCTTGAAGTAACCCCTCCCCACCTACCATGAGCAGCTGTGAGCATGGAAAGCTGCAGCAGCCCAGGATGGGAGCCACTGGCATTTACTGTGACTCATGCCATGATGGGACCTGGAGCTCCAGGAACCAAGCAACACCCCACCCCCACCCCACCCCCGTGAGCAGCTGTGAGCCTGCTGGCACTTGGGCTGAGAATCAAACATCACATCTCCCTCCACCCATCAGCAAGTGGGAGCCAGTGATCCGGACATCCCTTGAGAGGTTGACTATAGGCAATGTAGTAAATAGGGGGGATTTCCTTCTACCATCTCTTTGAAGGCAAATACATTTTATCCCTGTTGTGCTTTGTTCTAATTAATGGTGTTATTTTAGCCTGTTTTGTTTTGCTGAACTTCAATATACAAGAAAGTGTGGACAGATATTTTTAAGACAATGAGACTCTATGACAGCCATTAACGACTTCCCTATTGTCTGGTTTTGAAGACCTAAATCATCTTCGTCATTCTGTTCGGATCAGTTTTATATTATGTTGTTTTGTATGAATTCTCTGTATGGGAAGACATAGACAACTATTTGGAAGAAACAGATAATATGATAGTGAAGATCTCAGGTCATCTAACTTTGAAATTTATTATCTTTTATATTGCTTTCTTATGTCCTATTTTGTTCTGTTTTGTTGTGTTTAATTTTACCTCTTTTGAAATAAAAAAAAATCTACCACATTGTATACTCATTATAGATTAAAGTGTTTTTCCTCCTTACTAAACCTGATACCAAAGTGGCAATTTATTATTATCATTTAGTTCTGTGGACCAAACTTATTGTACAGGTTCAATAAATGCTGACTATGGGAATGGATTAACCAAAGCAAACTTTGAAAAACTGGATAAGCTGGATATGATGTCATGTGCTTTGTAGTTTCAGCTACTCAGGAGGCTGAGACATCATGATGGGTTGAAGCTCAGGATTTCCAGGTCAGCCTGGGCAAGAGAGTAAAATAATGGGACCCTGGCCTGAAAAAAATAATGGGATAATAGTGTGCTCTGGGAAGGATGCTTCTTGCTAACACTGCTGATTTTATAAACCATGAAGTTGTAAAATGTTTACAAAACCTTAAACCTCAGTTAAACAATGCTGAAGCTCATTCAGACTATGTGTTCCAGTAATCTGTGTAGGTAAATTCTTGGGACCCAGAGGGGTGCTCCCCGAAGGCCTGATGGTGAATTCTTACTACCCTTTCCCTACTTTCTTCTCTGGACCACTTTTGTCCTTTCTGCTGCCTCAGGCCAGTGAAGATGAATGCACTTCTCTCAGTAGCCCAAAGCACACACACATCCATGCTGTAGATGTTTCTCCAGATTTTAAGGCAACAAAACTTACAGTGTGGAAAAAACATCTTCAGATGTGGCAGGTATTAATGTTACTGAAGTCCAGAGGTCTCCCCCCTAACCCCCGTACCCCATCAGCCATCTCTTTTTGGTCCTGATCTGATGTCTTCTTTTGTTCCTTTGAGTGTTTGGGGGAATGTTTTTGTAGCCTGGAGTCAAACCATACTCTTTGTCTGGGGCTCAGTTAAAAGAAAAATAAAGGTTTTCCCCAAATTCAGATCACAGTGTAACCTCAGATGGATATAATTCTGCACACACAACTGTTACATTTATTTGAAAAAAATTGTGTTTTGTTTTGTTTTTTGGTCTTTTTGAGATGGTCCCACTGTGCAGTTTGGGCTGTCCTTGAGCTCACTTTGTTGCCCAGGCTGGTCTGGAACTTGTAACAATCCTCTTACCTCAGTCTCTCAAGTGCTGGGATTTACATGGCATGCACCACCACACCGAGTTTTAACATCTTGTTAATCTAACTAGGGTTTACTTTCAAAATAAGGACCAAGGTCATGATTTATAAAGCTTTTATCTATATTTAATTCAGGCAATAAGGAATGAAAAGGGTGAAATCACTACAGACCCTGTAGAAATACAGAAGATCACGAATACCTACATCAAAAACCTTTCCTCTCATAGGTTTGATAACACAGAAGAAATGGACAGATTTCTAGAAACATATGAATTACCAAAGCTGAATCAAGAAGTATAAAACTGCTGCATAACCCAATATCAGTTAGTGAAACTGAAAATGTAATTAGAACCCTACTAACAAAGAAAAGCACAGGTCCTAATGGATTCACAGCTGAATTCTACAAGAAATTCAAGGAAGACTTAATGCCAACAATCCTCAAACTCTTCATTGAAATTTGAAAGGGAAGTAATTCTCCCTAATGCATTCCTGGAAGCAAGTATTATCCTAATATCCAAATGAGAGAAAGACCCAACCAAAAAAGAGAACTATGGGCCAATCTCCCTAATGAACATAGATGCAAAAATTCTCAATAAAATACTGGCAAACAGAATACAGCAAGTCATCAAGAAGATTATATACTATGACCAAGTGAGATTCATCCCAGAAATGCAGGGATGGTTCAACATACACACATCGATAAACATAATATAGCATATCAATAGAGCCAAAGATAAGAATCACATCATCATCTCAATAGATGCAGAAAAGGCTTTTGATAAAGTCCAACACTCATTCATGAGAAGAACCCTATGGAAAATTAGAATAGAGGGTCTCTACATCAATCTGATAAAAGCCATCTATGACAAATCAACAGCCACCAACATATTAAATGGTCAAAATCTGAAAGCTTTTACTCTAAAATCAAGAACAAGAGAGGCTGTCCACTATCACCTCTTTTATTCAATAGGGTGCTGGAAATACTGGCCAGAGCAATTAGATGAGAGAGAAATAAAAGGAACAAAGATTAGAAAAGGAGAGGCTAAACTGTCATTATTTGCAGATGACATGATACTCTATACAGAAGACCCCCAAAACTCCATTGAAAGATTTTTAGATGTAATAACCAAATTCAGTAATGTAGCTGGATACAAAGTTAACACTCAAAAATCAATAGTGCCTGGCAAGTGCAGGGTCATGAGTTTAATCCCCAGTACCCCCCAAAAAATCAATAGCATTCCTCTATACAAACAACAAACTCGCTGAGAGAGAAATAAAACAAACCACACCCTTCCACAGTAGCATTCAAAAAAATGAAATACTTAGGAATCAATCTAAAAAAGGAAGTAAAATATCTATTCAGTGAAAATTACAGCACTCTGAAAAAAGAAATCAAAGAGGTTCTCAGAAAATGAAAAGACATTCCTTGTTCATGGATAGGAGGAAAAACTTTGTGAAAATGGTCACTTGCCCAAAATTGTTATACAGATTTAATGCAATTCCAATCAAAACATCACTAGCATACCTCAGAGATCCAGAGAAATCATTCTTGGAATTCATCTGGAATCAAAAGAGACCTAGAATAGCAAAGGCAATTCTGGACAACAAAAGCAAAGCAGGAGGAATCACAATCCCTGACTTGAAGTTATACTGCAAAGTTACTATAATAAAATCAGCATGGTACTAGAAAAAAAATAGGACTGAAGATCAATGGAATAGATTAGAAAATACAATCACAACTACAACACATGTACCCACTTTATCTTTGATAAAGGGCCAAAGATGTTCACTGAAAGAAGGCCTCTTTAATACGTGGTGCTAGAAAAATTGGCTATCCCTATGCCAAAAACTAAAATTAGAGCCATGTCTATCACCATGTACTAAAGTC